AAAAATACGTTTTTTACGAAATTATTATCATTATTGCATAGCTCTTGCATTTGCTCGCAGAATTGATTTCGCCGATCAAAGTCGTCTTCAGATAGCTCATGAACAAGGCATACCTTATAAGGATGATACTTTGCTTTTTTCATAATTTTGTGAACTGTGGACGCTGCCATATTGAAATCAGAAGCCAATTGGTTAAGTGTTGAGTGATGATTTTCTTGTATTGCCAACAAAACATTAAGCATTAAGCAGATTTAGGAAGATCACGAACATGTCCAAAGTTATGGTATTTAGACTCAATATTGCTTACCATGCTTTGACTAATGGGATGTCGATCAGGATGAGTTTCATTGAACAATTCAACTACTTCTTTTTGGGTGCGCATCCTGTCTCGAAATCCGATCATGCAAAGAATTTCAATTCGTTCTCGTTCAGTTAATTTAACCATTTTTTTTGTAAAATGACAAAGTTACTACTCAATAAACACTTCAAACGCACTGCTTTTGCCAAATAAAAGATAAGAACTAAAGAAATAACTCAAAAAACGAAAAAACTATTTAATAAAGTACAATTTCAAGTTTTTATCTGACAGCAATAAAAAACATTATCGGTCGCTAAGGCTACTGTCAGGCAACGATTTTTGTCGATGCGTATGTAGAATGACACGCTCTTTCAAATGGCATGGTCAAAATTGGGGGTTGCTATTTAAAAAAATTGTCGATGACGTCATATCTCGAACAACGATGACGTCACAAATATGGGTCGTATGTCAAAAAGTGCCTTTTTTAAAAACAAAATCGACGTGCCAGGGGATTTTTTCGAAAACTTCTCAATTTAAAAAATAATGAATTTATTCGTTACTTTTCGAAAGCACTGTACTTATAACAAATATCAATAATCAGTAATGGGCTTGAAATCAACGTTATACTTATACATTATAAAAGTTAAACATAATGTAGTGAAAAACAGGTACTCCTCATTTAATACTTCTATTGAAATAGAATTTTATATTAATAACTAAAGTGGACATATTTTAATCTCCAAGTCGAAATTAGTTTAGGGTCTACATTCACACTATTTTTTTTTAATGAAAATTTGTACTCATATATTGATTTGTCTTAAATGAAAAATATTGGCTGTCTTCACCAAATAGTTGGAGCGGTGAAAGTTGTTAAGTGAGCAACTGTTTGGTTGGTCTGCCAATCGGGAATATTGGGCAGATTTGTGACTATTGTAGTCAAGATCATTCAGCGGCGAAATTATAATTCTAACTAACAATATGCAATAATTGTGATACAAGATCAAAATGACATCTGATGTGGACGAAGAACAAATATCAATAATATAAGCTTTTAGGTTTAGGTTAGAAAATAAAACTAACAAATAATGGAATTGATAAACGGAAGCGATAAATATGAACGACTTTTTAAAACCCGTTCAGCGAATTGTTGGAACTGGAAAGTTGGACCGAAGTAGTTTAAATATTAGCTGAACACTGTCATCAAATACAGATACCTATACTGTCATAAAACTTTCTAACAGCTGTTTGGTAATCATTTCAATTTTTTGGTAATTGTTGCGCTACCCTTGTTTTTATTAAAAAAAAAACATTGAAATAGAATTATGTCTGTAACGAAATTTGTGGAAATAACTCGTCTTAATTAATGCTATTTTATTTTTGTTATCTTTGTTGGAATGTTAAATACGAATGGATAAAAATGAATTGAAGACATATTGATGCTTTAAACATTTTTTCATTAGAAAAAACAAAATTTATAACAAATTAAAATAAGATAATTAGAACCATTTGCAACAATTAGAATTATTACAAATAATTTAAAATAATAAAAAGTTATTCATTAAACATAACAAAACTTCAAGCATTGGTTAAAAAAAATAATATTTCATATATTAATTAATTATCATATTTTAAAATTTTTGTAATTATTATTTTCTTCACTTTTATTGTAAACATATCAGTTAATTCACAGATATTTATTATTTATTTTTAAAAAGCCTGTGAAGTTGAAAAAAATCACTAGAAGATAAATACCTAACTAACATACGTAGGTACGTTTATTTCCATAAATTTAAAAAATTCTGTAGTATTTGCAATACCGTTAGGCAAAAACATAAAAAAATCCATATTAAATTTCCTATCTCGTAGCCTAGATCAACATCACATTTAAAATGAAATTAACTGTCCAGTCATCTCGTTTATTTTTTTTATTAAAATTAATTTTTTTTTTTTCAACCTTGCATTTGAAAAGAAATTAAAATATCTTCAAAAATGATAAAGCTCTAACAAACCTTAGCAGAATTAACTTATTTTTATGGCCTTTCAAATGATTGCAATATATGATATTTCACATGAAAATGTAAAATAACTGTAACAGTACAACAGACCGATTTTATTATACTTTAAAGATATAGTAAAAGTACAAGAGCTTATAATAAAAAAATATAATTTTAAAATTAAAAAAACTATTTTTAATTTCTACTGTCATTAATTTTCGAGAAAAAATTAACATAGGACAGCATATTATGGCAATATAGGTGGCATTAGGCTCTAAAGATTATTTGATATTATTTCCATTTTATGTTATTGCTGATTAATATTCGAGACCTGCTTCCCTTTTTCCATTTCGATCATTATTTCGTCCACTTACACAAATTGGAACGCAATTTTTTATTTCTTTAATAGTAATCATTTAGAAGAATTTAGAGAAGAAAATTTTAAGTGCACAAGCAAGTCTTAAATTTTAACGAATGTTTTATTAACCTGGCTAATGAAACCGTTGCAATTAGGGGAAAAAGTAATTATTTACTGTCAAGTATTTAGAGACAATTACTATTAACAAGTCCTGAGTTCTAATTAACAATTTAATGCTTATTAAGTGTTACCTTGGCTAATCCTCTGCAAGGGGTGTGTACCTGGACTATTTATACACGACACGAGGTTCAACTCCTGTCAGTTTAAAGTCACCCACCCTCTGTACAAGGGTGAGAGCCTCGGTTTTGCCCCACGCGGAGTTCCACTACAAAGTTTCAGCCAGTTTGAGTCTGTAGTGAGCTTTAAACAGATCATCGTCGAGATCTGTTCCGTGCGGCGGCAGCGCGCGGTTTCGTTTTTGACGCGTCGCGGTGGAAAGGAAGTAAACCAAAAAGTAAGTAACATTATTATAAATAAATTGAGGAAAGCAAATAGTAACTTTTCTAAAAATATGCTACTGCTAGTAATAATAGTGGCTTTACCAGAAAACTTTAAATGTCGTTGAAAATTCTTTATCAACATTTGAAACTCTCACACAAGTATTAAGTCTGTGAAAACTAACAGAAATACTTACCGAAAAACTTATATACGTATTTTCATTAACATTACAGATTTATTAAATTTTCAAAGTTTGTTATGTTTGTAGGTATGTTTAATTTGTAAAAATGTATCTGTATTTTTTTTTTGAATTTTAAAATATGTTCTTTAAAAGTATTGAGAGTATTAAGATTCGGAATGAATAGAATTAAAGGAACATGACCAAAAAATATATCTCGAAATTCATATTTCATAATTATATTCTTCGACTGTGCGTAATAAACAAATGTTGACAAAGGAGTTTTATCGCAGTTCATCATATTTTAATTGGTTAATTAGCGTCCAAATCAAGTTTAAAGTTGGGTCGTGACATTTGATAGAAAAAATTAACAAAAAGAATAATTCAATATGTTTGATCCGGCATTTACAACCGGTGGAGATTGTATTTTATTTAAGATAAGTGTTCATTAACTTCTTTTTAAGACAATCAAAAATAAATATGACTCAAAGCGGCAACGATATAATATGTATATCAACGTTTTGAGATGATCTCTTTATTCTAAATAAAAGCGGATAAAAAATGAGGAAAAATAATAAATTATTTATATTATTGGGAGGTGGCTTGTGCTGCACCAATCAAATTGATTATGTGGTCGAATTCATTATTTACAAATACATAATCATAAATCAAATACAAACTGGAAAAATGTAAATTTAAAATCGTTTTCCCAACGCGCTTGACAAACGTATCGTAACAAACATTGTTTGCAGTGATTAATGCTTTTAAATTGGCATTTAATTGCCGAAACGCGCCCGATGTTTAAAATTGTTATGGTTGAGTTGGTATTAATGATCTGTTTTATCATAAATTTAATATTTTCCAGGGATTTGAAGAATTCAACGCTACGAGGATGCATCTGCTAACACGGATTCAACCAGTGATCTTTGTTCTAGCTAATAAACATTACTGATAATGTAGTTAGTTTTATAAACATTTATTAACATATTACGGCCGTCTTAGCGAATTATTTCGAACTGAATTAAAAAAAGCATGTAAAGTGAGATAGATTAATCTTCTGTGATAAACTGCTCCTAGTGATAAATTATTGTTGACTTCGATTTTTAATTATGTGTAAAATTATATTAATATTTTGCGCCCTGCAAATTGTGACAGTGTATTGTTCGGTGCTTCTGTCTGAAAGTGAAATTTCAAGAAGTAGACAACCACCTCACTTCAAGTATACGGTTGATGAACTTCTGAACAATGTGTTTCCAAAGAAAACTTCAGATGATCTCGATCTGGACCCTTGTAAAGCAGGTAAGGTTTATTGAATACTAAAACTTTCATTACGCTTATACCCCCTACAATAATAGTACTCTAACTTGTTAACAACTACGAACTTAACGCTAAATCGATAACTCAAACTTTAGATGAAACCTGCCTGTTATAATAACTATTATTAAGATCTAGAACATTGAAGTCATTATTGCCATAAACAACGACGTATAAAATGTGGGATAACCGCATTTAGACAAGTTTTCAATATGAAGAGTATAAGATTTACATAGCATTCAAGAAAAAAATATGCTTATTTAAAATGGATTTTTTTCTCTCTTTAGAATTGTATTAGATTTTTTTAGTAACTTGGCAAAAATAAAGTAACATCTTACCATGTTGAACAAAAAACAATGTACTACATGGTAAAAATCTAAAGTCTAAACCTATTTAGGTATGTTAGTTTCAAAGACTTAGTAGTTTTTAATTTTTTTCTGAAATACCAAAAAAGTGATAGAAATTATATTTTCTTCTATCGAGAATGCACTCAGTAAACATACGTAATTTATTACCTTACCATTTAACCGATTCATTCTAAGTAAAAAAGGTCTCTTGCAATTTTTTCATAAAATTAATGATTACTGAGTAAAAAACTTATTTAGATTCAATTACATGACTTGATTGGTGTAGGGTAGAAATGGAACTGTAATTTATCTAGTAGTCGGCTATTACGTTAACATTTTGTAGTGGCAACTTAATTGTATTAAACATGTGAAAAAACAAACTAAATATGTTTTTCTACATATTTAATAAAATTAAATTGCATTAATTATAACAATTAAGTTGCCATTACAAAATGTCAACGTGATAGCGTTTAGAATAAGTCAGGCTATCCGAAGTGAATTTTTAAATGATAAGGTAGTAGTAATAAGAGAAAAGTTACGTATGAACCTAGGGGTGGCTTTTTCTACCCCTTACCGTAAGGGAAAATCAACAAATTATTTACTTAGTAGGTACCTTCTCGATAGCAGAAAATGTCTACTTAATTTCATTTCTGTAATTTTTTTTGCTATTTCAGAAAAAAATTAAAAACTGCTTTTTTGGCACCCCTTTTTAAGCAGTTCTATATTCTCAGGGGATGTTTAAATTATATTTTTTTTATATGAAAGACTCACTTTATTCTTCCCCAGGGAATAACCCCCTGAATTTTTTCGAATTTATTCATTCACGCCCTGTATATTTAGTATTGCTTATCAGTTGCTAGATATTGTATATGTCTCGTTTCAAGAAATATCAACTAAATTATTCTCTCGTGTTCATATTCCTTTTTTACACATTTTATTCTTTAAAAGTTTAAGTAGTTCAATCAAATATTAAGAGTTGGGGAGGAAACATTCTAGTGTTTTGAACTAAATTGATATTTCATGATTCCGATTTGATACCTTGACGCAAATTCCAGAGATATAATTATTATTAATACCTATATCGACATGTACCGATACAGATTTCAATCCAGCCGCAATGAAAAATCATTTATCCAGTAAAATTCAGTGGATACTTTGCCACACCGGCACCTTTTGAACCAAAATATATTCCTTCTATAATGGCCCTTATTTAAATTTGCATCCAAATGAAAGTGCTGTGTTGTTTCTATACTCTACTTGTCTTATTCATGTATTACTCACATGTGAAAGGATTCAGTCCTATTGCGTGTAGTTCGTTAGCATGCCAAAGATTTTACACCATAAAATAATATCAACATAGCAGTTTATCAATCGTCTTTGTACTTTTACACTAAAATTATTACCACACAAGACATTCCTCATCCTGATTAATGCTTAATCCTATTTTCTTTTGTATCTCTCTGTTTATCTGGAGTACATATTATCATAAGTAATACGAAATGTATTTTAATTACGCTCTATTCATGTGCTTGTCTTATCGTTGTATATTCTTTCGGGGGTCTTCTGAATTAAATGTTTTTGTTTCGATGTAGGTATAGCAGATAGATTTGCAAGATTTAATGCAATACATATTAAATGTGTGTACTAAAAATTAGTGGGTACTTAAGAAACCATGATGGAAATTCTACAATTCAGTTACGAATGCCGTAGATAAATGGCTCAGTCTCTTTCATAAGCCGTAACTTCAACACCTATCAATTGTTCTTATTTTATTATGTTTTTGAAAACAAAACGTTTTCCGAAAAAAATTCCTTTTGTCAAATATGAGAATTTTCTTAGTTTAGGAATAAATTGTATAAAAATGAATAACTATATTTTGTGCTTACATAACAAATTAACAAAAATTTAATTTATTCAATATAACTAACTAATATACAGGGTGTTTCAGTTCGAGTGAATCAAATTTTAACCACAGATAGAACTCGATAAGTAATTAAGAATTGCCTTATAAACCAAGGTTCTATGTCTCACCGTTTTCGCTCTACAGGGCCGTATTGGTCGGTNACTATGCACACATATTTTCTGTTTTTAATATTTTGTATATTTAGCTTAGATAGTTCATGTGTTAATTACAATTATTTTGAACACTTTAGAATCTATTGTAAAACAAAAAGAAATTGTTATCATTGTTATGCAATTTACTTCAGAATAAAACATTTTACAAAAGTAAATATTTTTCGTAGATGATATATGAATATATTTCAAAAAAGTCAGAGGCATAGAAGTTATGTTTTAAGAAAGGGGTAATCATCCCCTGTATCTACGTCGCTCGTTATTGTCCGTGCAAAATTACTAGCATGGTTTTGTAAATACTAAATGCAGGTATTAGTGTCTCAAACTCTGTAAAGCATCTTGAAATAGTATTTTTTTTACTTCAAGTCTATATAGCGTGTTTTGTCAAATATAACATGTCCTTATCGTCTTTTGTTTTTAAGATATAGGGCAGCAAAGACGATTTTTTAGGTTTTAGGTTAGGTTTATTTGTGTCACATTATAATATAAAATTTCATTTTATACATAAGAGGTAGTCGCTGAAAACGTTTTTGAGAAAAAAAGCAACTACTAGAAGACTACGCCACAGTTAATAAGCTTCTACTCCTTAAGCGTAGTTTTTTCGCTTTCTTAAAAAGTTATACTACTAAATATTAAAATGGATAAAATGTAAAAAATCATATCTTAGAACATTTAGCGAATGATAAAAAATTAACAATTCTGCATTTAGCAACCTCAAAAATTTATCTGCACCAAATTTCAATTTCAATCATTGTTCCTTGGAAAAGGTATGGCTAATATTTGATTTAAGCAAATAATTTTTGACGTTCTGTATCTCAAAAAAAAAGACGATGGTGTGCAGGAAAACATAATAACATGTTCTACTAGCTTCTGCATGTATAGTGTTTTTACAAAACACCCTGTATATCGAAAACGGTGCATTTTCGGAACAAAGTATATATAAGCTTTTTTCGTTTATTTTTACTTAAGGAATGTTCTATAATATTGATATAAAGTTATTTCAAAGTGAATTATTTAATCGTGGAACTAAATTGCTGAAGGTAAATCAAATAGAATGTTAATTTATTGGGTTTATAAGTAATGAAGTGTCATAAAATAAGTCTTTATAAATTGCTTTTTGTGTCTTAAATCGGTGGTATCGTACATCTGGACTATATCAGAGGCAGACTACAAACACAAAGCTTACTTTTCAATTATATTGTTGAAAACAAGCCATTTATTATTAGGTTAATGTACGAACAACAAAAGATGCAAATATCTCTCCCACATTATAGTTGCAAATTAACGTTATTATATTGATATAAATAAATAAATGTAACCTTGTACATAAATTTGAACTTGCCTTTAAAATAAAAATAGAAAGTCATCATTAATCATTTTTAGGTCTTATCTTCGTATAACTCGATTGGGTTAATTAATTTTGCAAATTTATCATTTTCACAGGCACGTGTATCATTGATATTAACGGTATAATGGTGAAAGTAAATTTCGAAGTTAGGCTGAAGCGGGGCTGTATTCGAAAAGTCTTTTAAGCATTTACTTTTAATTATATTTTTATCAAAACTAATTTAATTATTTTGGCACCGTAAGAATCGGTATAATCGAATTTATCCGGTGGCATAAAAAAATTTGGTATACTAGGACTGCTCAGAAAATAATCTAACTTTATTTTTTAAATATTATTATTAATTTTACTCTCCTCCTCTATTCACACACTTTTCCCTGTGGCGTTTCCATTTCGCAAAGCAGTCCTGGATAGCTTCACTTGAAATGGTCTTTAAAGTCTGTGACGAATTTGCTTTGATGTCATGCCGTCTGGAAACGGCATCTTTCTTTAGTTTCGGGAATAAGAAAAAATCGCAAGGAACTAGGTCTGGTGGGTAAGGAGGGTGAGAGAGGACTGTAACATGATTATTGGCACAAAACTGACGATTTGACAAAGCTGTGCGAACTCATTATCATGGTGCAGGAACCTTGAGTTGTCTCGTCACAACTCTGGTCTCTATTTACAGATTTTTTTACGTAACCGTTGTAAAACGCCTTGATAGTACACACGGTTGACTGTTTCACCTTAAGGCAAGGATTCAAAATGCACAATTACATTGAAGTCGAAAAAAACAGTGACATTGCATCGAGACTGACGTGCTTTCTTGGAGCGTGGATATCGTTTGCCAATCCATTGTGATGACCAAACTTTTGTCTCGATGTCGTAGCCGTAAATCCAGTTTTCGTGTCCCGTTATGATGTTATGATCCTTTGAATGAATGTTTTATCATCATTTGATTGTTCAAAGAGTTGCCGACAAACGTCCACATGATTTTCTTTCTGTTGTGGTGCAAATCGATGCATGTTCAATTTTTCAGTCAAAATTTCATGACATGACCGAGTTGAGATGCTAACCTCTTCTCAGAAGATTCTTCTGCAATTTCTCTGACAGTCATTCGGCGATTTGCACGCACCAGAATTTTGACTTTCTGATGTCGAAGGTCATCCTGATGAGGATCATCTTCAATTGACTGACGACAACTTTTAAATCGTGAAAACCATTTGTAACATCATCATCTC